ATATTTCTTTCCTAGTTCGTTGTGAGCAGCTCGGGTGTCATTCGATGCAGCTTTTCCTCTTCATGAAGGGTGTTTCTAGTTTCCACTTCGTAAAGTCTTCGGGGAAAATTATAATGAATCATGTTATTTGACGCGCTCCAGGCTGTATGCAGAATCTCATTTAGATATTTCGGTTAAACTAAACTCTCTTTTGCTTTGTAAAATTGGTGTTAAATCATAAAATCACATGGAAGTTTCAAAGTCCTAAAATCCCAAAAAAAAATCCCAAAATTATTGGTGTTCGGTGCTTTTGTGTCTGAGTAGGCCTGCCAAAATCCGGTAGCTTTAGCAAAAAAAATTCTCAGAAAAATCACGAGATGGAAAGGAGGAAAAAGCTGTTTTGTTCCCTGTAAGGTTTGCTCCATCCATGTGTCACTTGATATTTTTCGCAAAATTGGTATAAGAGCTTAGAAAAGTTGTGAGTTGAGCATGTCGGAAAGCGTGGGTCGCAGATTTCATTTTGCAAGAACTCATTTGAAGTGCTACAATGAATCTGAAATCGTTAGAAAGAGGATGAAATGCTGCATCGAATGCTACATATGCTACATATCAATCCATCACATGTATCCGCTTTGAAGAGCGGAAATTTTCGGAATGACCCAACATACTGCGTCCTTCATTATGCTATTTTGACCAAAGTTTTATTTGAACATTCGACGTAGTTGGTACAAAACATTCGTTTATTCCAGATTTTTTTCTCGAATATATTCGGATTTTCAAAAAATTTTAATATTCGACATCGATTATTCAATTTTTTGATTTTGGAAAACATTTATCGCCATGTCTTTTCTAGTCGACATTTTCTATTTCTGAAAATACTCGCAGTTCAATCATGCGATATTTTTGATTTGCGATATCCGATCTGATCTTCCAAAATAAATTCGAATGTTCAAAGGATAGCTGCCCCGATAACCCTGGCTGATCACGCGTTGCGGCATCCTTCGCGAAAAACCTGCGCAGACGGTGATTCCTGACCGTTGACTTTCTTCGCAGGATGATAGACTGTCAGTTGCGCCACACTTCCAGGATAAGAAGTTTCAAAAATTTTAGAACTCGCAGAAACGAATACTCCACGACGACGGAGTCGTCTTGGAAGTGACTACATAGAAAGAATATCGCGTTGCCTAAGTTGCCAGGTTTTACCCTCTGTTTCATTGGGAGTGGCGAGTGGAGGGCGGAACTTCGATTCTAACTAGCGTAGAAAGCACGCTTCAGAGAGGTGCAGAGCCCGGAGCTGCACGCATCTCGCAACTCCCAGGATACAGTGGATACATAATACCGCTGAAAATGATTACACGTGGTCCAGTTTTGGTGGCATAGGATTGTCTCGGTCTTTTAACAAGCCATATCTTTATTTTGGCTTGCAAAGTATAGGTCGTTCATGAAATCGTGACGACGAATTTGACTGCGGTCTTTGCAGCCACAGGAGCAGGAAACACTCATTGTGCTGGGGTTCAGTGGATTTTTGTTTTACCGTGCTTCTGTTAAACACGGATGGCTTAATCTCTTTATTTCCGAGCCGGGTTCTCCGGCAAACTGTACAAACACTTCAACGAACACTATGAAAATGCCGGGTTCTCCGGCTTACAACCTCAATCACAACTGACTCTCCAAAAGGGAGGAGCCAAAACTGTAAGTGTTCGGTAGGCTGACTAAAGGAACCACGATCAGCCTCTCTCTGATCGGGCGTTATAACTTGCCCCCACCAATTACCAGCCTCAGCTGCAGCACAGAACACATCAACAAGACATACATTTATATGGGCAAGTACGGAACGACAACACATCAATATCAATGAGAACACAATCGAGATCAACTAGAAGTGAGGATCCTGAACGAAGCACGAGAGACGGGTCTGGAGACCCAAAGACGACATGTCGCCAGACGTCCAATCACCATACTGCCGTACCGTTCCGCCTCTGGTCTTTATGCCCTGCACGTCGAGTTAACAATATTACTTCTTCAGCCATCCCCGGCTGATTCTCACCGTACCTTAGGCGTGCAATTAATTGTTGGTTGTGGTCCGGCAGGTACTGCACACATGACGCTTAATTGCACGTGAGTGGCGTCGCTATGTGAAACGTTGGTTTTTTTTTGTAATTTCAGTGCAAAGCCGAGCGATGACCGTGTTGATAATTTGTACATGTCTATTTTTTCATTTTTTTATCATACAAGTAGTCGCAACTTGCTCGATTCAACCGAGCTCCAGATAGTCAGTCCTCAGGTGACAGAATCGAGACTCAGAAATTCCTTCATGACATGTGTGATTAATAGTATTTGCGGATATCGTTTTTGCATTTGATATCAAACCAAACACATGCTGTTGTTTATGTCTACAGTTACTTCACGTAGATTTATAAGTGCAACCAAGGGCCGCAAAAATGACGGATCACTTTATCAGTTCACTAGATGAGGATGAAAAGGATGTATCATTGGAAAACTACAAGTACATATACTGATATGTCTAATCCTTTTGGGTAGCACAGCAGCTGTTTCCAGGGCAAAGTGGTTGTGATTGTTAACGAGGCATCGCATTGTGATCACACTAACTCGCGCTTAGGCAGCTGAAAGGAATGCTTGACAGTACCATTAAAAAGGCCTAGAAGTAGCTGCATCCCCTTGTAATCAGTTTGGACATCAAATGGAAGAACATCGGTTTCTAGAACAATACTTTTGAAAATGGGCTCTAGAGTACCACAGGGCATTTTTAGACTTGAAATAACACATCACTCCTGAATTTTTCGTCCATACCTCATTTATTGCTAACTACTCCCTACCTAATCCAAAGTTTGAACCTAAAACAAGACTAAACTGCGGTTCAACTAATTATCAACTTTATTTTTTCATCCTTCGAAATCATGCAAGAGGGCACCGAAAAATTGAAAGCCGCTCCATTAGCGCACCTTTTGCTTCTTCAAGAAAGTTTTCATGAGCCTCGTTGTGAGACTGATATCAAGAACTTCATAACATGAGTTCAACTTGGAACCGGATCTTACCCTAAGACTGACGTCAGCGGTGACCCGCTATTCAAATTTCTGAGAAAAAAAGAGAAGGTCTGATACCCAAAGATTTGGGGACGGCAATCTTTAGGTATCATACTTTCTCTTTTTCCCAAAGATGTCGTACAAAAATTGAGTTTTTTATAGGGTGGCACGCTCATTGATGCAATGAAGTGAAATTTCACTAAATTCTTGGTTGATAAAGACGGAAAAGCTGTGAAGAGGTATGGACCAAATACAGGATCTAAAGGAGTGGTGAAAGATGTAGAAGCCCTTTTGAGCGACCCAACTAAACTTCAACTTGTAATCAGCGTGGGAAGTGTTATTTACCTCTACAATTGATCATTTTGGCAGTATTTCATACGATTTGGTCTTACATTTCTGTGTCATAACCTCTGTTTCTCAAACACTAACGAGGATTTTATAAATTATTCTATAGTTTCATGAACAGTTTGTCCTATTTGGTAGAGACGTTCCACTATTTTTACAGATTCAAATAAGCGTAATTTGTGGACTAGGTTATTGTGATTATGCGTAGTGTATCTTAGAAGTACATGTTTTCGGTCGCGGTTCACTATTAAGAGAAGAGAGAGTGCTGCAGCGCAAGTAGAGGGTGCTTATGAAGACATAATGGAGTATTATTGCACCAGCAGAGTTGCAATTACTGCCAAACTATTCCATCAAGAGTTGTAAAGGGTTATACCGAACAAGCAGTTGCTTCACCACAAGGATAGCGAGGTTCCTCTTGTATAGACAGTTCATTGATCGCACGGACTGCACACAACTGCGGATCACCCGTGGCGAGGTAAAACGGTAGATCTTAATAGCTTGTGAGAAAGAGATGCCGAAACGAAAATATCTGAAACAAGCAAAAAATAGTTGAGTAAGCTGTGGATGACATATACACGCGTGAACGATATTCTTGCTCATAAGGTGAGCATGCATATTCAGTAGTTTTGATATAACGGTTGGGAGGTATTTTGTACACAGCTCCAGTTTCCGCGTCCAGTTTCGAATAGCAGTTCTGCGAGAATGAGTTGTTAAGCTGTCGTCGGCCCTCTTCTATGCGGAATCGAAGTGACGAGCAGGTTTCGATTACTTGGTCCGACTAAAAATGGAAAAATAAACATATACACGTTATCAACACACGGTCATCGCTCGGCTTTGCACTGAAAACACAAAAAAACCGTTTGCGACGCCACAGACGTGCAATTAGGCGTCATGTGCGCAGTATGTCTGCAGGACCACAACCGACAATTGATTGCACGCCTAAGGTACGGTGAGAATCAGCCGGGGATGGCTGAAGAAGTAATATTGTGTCGAGTTATCGCACCACCGATCTGTAAGCAAAGAGCAAGGAGAGAGTCTGGGAGAATAAACACAAAGCCTACGCAATAGCTAGAAATTTGAAAAGATCTGAGAAATCTCATTACTCACCCTGCGCTCTCTTACAGCTGCCAGCTGGCAGCTTCCTTTGTTGAATACAGTCGCAAACAAGACAAGAACACTGTTTTGCGAATTGGGTTCGCGGAATCGTACAAAACATCACTACAAGATCATCGAACCACGATTACGGTAGCATCGGCTACGACACTCCGGCCGAGGAGAAACGGAAACAAAAAATCACTGTAGCGTCGGCTACGACACTCATACAAGAAGGCATCACCTCAACTCTCAGCTCAGTCACTTCCGTTGTCTAATTACTGTAAAATAAGCAGAAAAACCATCCGAGTGGAGCTGAAATCCAAGAAAATGCGGTTGCCGAGAGGTGCGTGCGTGTCGCGCGCGGTCGCGCCATCGTCACGACATCTTGAATGCCCTGTAAATTTCGCGCGTTTGTACGTTATCGCCTTTGCTCTTTACAAAACGAAATCCAGTGTACATTTATGACTTCTATGTACTGGAAATGGTCCCCGCATCTCATTTCTCTTCGAACATAAACGACAGACGTTGTTCGTTGCGCTCAAATCTGCAACTGCAGACTGTGGCGGAGGGCACGACAGTTTTAAACTCAAAAACACTGGAAGTCGCTTTGATTCCAAGCTTGGGATGAGATGGTTGAACAAGGCGCGATGTCTGGCAGATGGTTCGAGGCGTTTTCTGTCATTGGCTCGGAAGGTGGGTCACTAGTTGCAATTCGTAGGTTGTTTGCAGTAACTGTATTTTTCCAGGATGAGGTGAATGCCTTGAATAATTTCCCTTCCGAAATTCGCAACATTGGGATTGTTGCTCACATCGATGCTGGCAAGACAACTGTTACCGAAAGAATGCTTTATTTGGCTGGAGTCATACGCAGCATGGGCGATGTCGACTCCGGGAACACAGTTACGGACTTTTTGGATATGGAGCGAGAAAGAGGTTTTGTTCTTTTGCTACATTTAACTACCGTAGTTGCACGAGTACAGTGTGCGGTTTGCTTTCTCTAAAATGGAGCAGCTTAAATACGCCAGAGGATTTGGCGACCCAAGAACGCTCGACCTTTCTGCACATATGTCTCTTATGAGAAAATCCACGGCATAGCGGTCAGGGCCCGGCACAGATTGTCAAGCAGGCTGGACTTCATTTTCAAGGCGAAAAAGCAGAGGGATATCGTTTTTATGTGTCCAAAGAACACAAAAGCTAGGTTTTTAGTTGACGTTTCCGATTTTGGGTCAAAGCGGATTTTGTAAAATTTCGCGAAAGTCGAGGGACTTCGTTTCCTGAATGCCTAGAAATGGACTCGCATCGGGCCCTGATAGGTCGTTTCGCGAGGGCCGCGAAGCGGCTGAGCTGGTCGCTTCAGAAGTCGAAGAAGGTGCGCCCAATACCCTTTGATTCCTTAGGATAGGAGGCTGGAAGGGGACTGCTCGCGCACGCGACGCATTCTGCGTCTCTCTCGTGAATGCTCTTCAATCTTCAGCCTTGCCTCTAAGCTCCGCCCTCCAGCTGCCAATCCTGTTGAGTCAAAGGATATCACATGTGAAATTAGGGTAAAACTGTTTTTTTTTCATGACATGCGCATGCATGGGGAGTGGTGGGAGGAGGGGTGGGGGTGGAGAGCTTCAAGCAGTGAGAAAGGGTAATGGTGTGGAGCCTTTGAGTTCAATTTATGACCTGCGTACCTGGTTTTGGAGGTTACACTGAATGTGTTCGACTAAAGTCTGCGGCTTTGATTAGCTGAGAAAGTTATATGTATCTATCAAAGCTGGTATTCGACACGTTCATCAGAATGATTTGAGGTATCACAATTCAGCTGGCGGCGATAACTTTCGCATGGCAGAAGCATAGGATCAATTTGATAGATACTCCAGGACATGTTGACTTCACAGGTGATGTTAGTACATTTTGTTTTGCCTAATACGACACATTCTTCTTTGGTTGCTTCGGTGCTTTATATTTTGGTGCATGAGAAGGGGTATCGGTTAGACCACTTCGCGGTTAGTTACAGTTTTCGCTTGCTTTACTCGTCATTGGGAGTGAAGCCTTTGTATGTTTGAATCTTTATTAAGCACGCTGACCTACTAGTTTACTAAATACTTGCATCATTTACCCAAGACCCTTCCTTTCAAGGTCTGACACAGAATCCTGTCCTGCTTACGCATTTACAATATTCTCATTTCAGTGGAAGTTGAGCGATGTGCTAGAGTTCTCGATGGCATTATCACCGTTTTAGATGCATCTTCTGGTGTCCAGGTACGAGGAATTATAAATATATCCTTTCTTTCATTTGATTGTTGACTATATACGTCTCAGGCACAGACTCTTACTGTTTGGCGCCAAGCTACGAAGTTCCATTTGCCTTCGGCGTTTTTCGTCAATAAGTTGGACAAAAAAGAAGCGGATTTTGAGAGATCTGTAGACTCTGTAGAACAGAAGCTGGGCATCAGAGGTTCTTATTTTTGTGCAAATTTATAAATTAGTTATCTTTTGCGAAGTTCAGCATTGGCTACTGCCGTTCCTTACATGTCTGAACAGGAATCGGGTGTTGTGGACTTACTCAAGAAAAAATTTATTCCTTTGCATGCTGATGGGCAGTGGAAGAATGTTGAAGTATACTACAATTCACACGTCCCATTTCTAAGCTCTATGCCCTTCATTTAGATGAAACAACATCTTGGAGATGTTCTTCATGCTGGTCGAGAGAATCTTTGTTGTCACCTTGCTGAATTGAATGCGGATTTCATGTCTTTATTTTTGGAGAAGCATAATGGTGATGCTATGGAAGTGCCTTCTGCATCGATTGCCAGAGGTTTAGTTGTAAATTATCTCATAGTTTCGTTCTAAGAGGTGCTCTTCATTGACACGCAGCTTGGAATGATACAAACTGGGCAGAGAAGGGTGTTCATTGCCAGTCTTTCTTTTTCAGCTATGCGTGAAGTTACGCTGTCAAATCGTGGAGCAGCTATCGGTTGCGGAAGTGCTCTTCGTTGTCCAGCATCAGTGCAACCAGTGTTGGATTATGTTGTGCAGTTTCTGCCCTCACCGAAAGAAAGAAATCTATCCTTAACTAAAGTGTTTGGTGACGATCTCTGTGGACTTGTTTTCAAAGTAGGTTGTGCATTATTTTGTTCGGGTTTTCTCATGTACGCATGTAGTGCAACTGTTTTGGATTGGCCATGACAAACGAAAAGGAAAGCTGAGCTTTGTGCGAGTATACACTGGGACGCTGACTAGTAATTCTGTTCTGTTCAACTCCAGCCGTGGTACGAACGAAGGACCGGTGAAGGTACATTTGATTGTCCTTACTTCAGTCTTCTGACAGTGCTCATCTTTTTTCTGATCTCACTGCATCTTATCTCAGCTTCATTCCAGCTTTTCTTGGCTCAAAGCAGTGAGCTTATACCAGTCACTAGTGTTACTCAAGGAAACATTGCGGTGGTTGCTGGGTTATCTAGCGCAATGACTGGTGATACCCTTCTAGCGAGGTGAATTCTGTTTTGGTTATCATAACAATTTTGTTCTTTTTGATTTTCATCGCTTGCATCTTTTGAAGCATATATATATATGTAGAAAAATGTCTTTGTAGTGAAACTGTCGGGCATCAGGCAGCGCATTCAAGACATGAATTAAAGAACACTGCTAAAGTGCAACACGATTACCATCGCAAGGATTCACACAACATCATTCCTAGTGGAACAAAGGATGATGCTCTTGATATCGAGGTAGTTGGCGACGGGCAAAATGTCGTTCTGAAAGGTACGATGCTCAGTGCGAGTGCATTCATTGAAACCTGGTGTCTGTTGCCATTTCTGCATTGGTGATCGCGATGAGGTTTTTGATATGTCATATTATATCGCAGTTTCAGGTATCGATAGCCCTGATCCTGTCTACTTCTGCTGTATTGAGCCACCAACAACGAAGTCGAATCTTGAGTTCGAGAGAGCGTTGAATGAAATAGCTGTGGAGGTAGATGAAAATGTCATTTTATTCCAATGCTTTCAATATGTTTCAAGGACCCATCTTTGAGAGTGCGATTTGATCATGAGACTGGACAAACAATTGTAGAGACTATGGGAGAGCTTCACTTAGATATCGTCAAGAATCGTCTGGTACGAGATTATGGTCTGAACGTATTCGTTGGACCTTTGCAGGTGAATCGTCCTGTTTAGTTGACTGCATTGGAAATATTTGCGTGGTTTTTTTAGATAGCTTATCGTGAGATAATCAGTGACACAATAACGTTGACGCGCACTGTGCAGGATACTGTAGACGAAAAGAAGAGAGTACATAGTGCTAACTTAACCTTGTGCTTGGAGCCGACGCCAAAGAGCGGAAAGTTCAAATCGGTATGGTTAATCTTTGCTAGCAAATGTCGCTCTGTTCTTAGCAACGACATAAGGCAAACTTATTTTCCTAGGTGCGTGTGGAACTTCCTCCAGACTCGGCCCCAGTACGTAGTGACTGGCTCAAAGCAATAAATGAAGGCTGCAATAATGCTCTTCATAATGGCCCGGTTTTGGGTTTTCCTATGCAGGATGTGGTAGTCAAACTCAAGGCAATTACGACAAGTGGAGGACGAGTCAATCCTGCCGTTTGTAAGTATAATTTTATGCATAGGTTTACGTTTTCATCATGCTGGTGGTCAAGATTTCTTGCTCTCTTGCCATTATATCTCGTTTCAAGTGCTCTTGCATTTTCATTTAGAATTTCCAGCTAAATTTCAATTCATATAATGTTAGTTCCCATCTTGATCTGGAAAAACACGACTTTCTCAAAAGATTCGGTCCAACAAACTCATAATGCTAGCCTCTTTCCATCAGGCGCTATATATCAACCTCTTCACTCTAACAAGATACTAAACCACTGGCGGAATTTTCTCTAGAGTATGTCGAACTTGCCCAATGTTTCAGGATCGAGGTGAATTGCCTTGAAAATTTGCGTTAGACGACAACGAACCTCAAGCATTGAGTGACTGAACCTATTTGCTATCCATTATAAGTGCGGGTTGGAAAAGTATCTCAAAATTATTGAATACTAGCTGGCTTACCCGGCTCCGCCGTATGTTCCAAGTAGAAAATTCCATTTCTTAACCGATCCGGACCAAACTTGACACATACACTTCGGGCCCCGGCGGGTGTCACAGTCCACTTTTCGCTATCGATCGATGTCGATTTCATCGATTTTTGCAAAATTTGAGCTAGGGGGCTGGAATTTGGCAGGGGGTGTAATCGAGCATGCTGATCACCCCCACGGGGGTGATCAGCATGCTCGATTACCTCCCTGTGCCAAATCCCAGCCCCGTAGCTCAAACTTTGCAAAAAAATCGATAAAAGTAATGCACGATTTTAAAAACTGATATTGTATTCGGAATCCCCATGCTCACTTACCCCCCTGTGCCAACTCCCAGCCCCGTAGCTCAAATTTTGCAAAAAATCGATAAAATCGATATCGATCGATACGAAAAGTAGCCTATGACACCCGCCGGGGCCCGAAGTGTATGTGTGCCAAGTTTGGTCCGGATCGGTTCAGAAATGGAATTTTCTATTCGGAACATACGTACACACAGACAGACAGACATACAGACAGACATACATACAAACAGACATTCAGCTTTATATATAAGAAGAAGAAGATAACAGTGGCCCGAGGCTTGTATTGCATGATTTCCGTTCTCAGTTCTGCCTCATCCTGTGCACAAAAAGATACTTTTACAAAACTGATAGTCAGTCGAGATGATTTAGTGTCGGCCTGCGCCCACAAATGCGTCACGGAGGCTATCGAAGCAGCAGGCGCACGGTTGATTGAACCGGTCATGCGGCTAGACATAAGTTTGGAAAGCGGCACTGAAGCACAGCCTATCTTGCAGGAGCTCTCAAGTCGTCGAGGTGACATTCTGGAGTGCTGCGGGACTCACTGTAAGTGTTCGCTGTAGTAACTGCGTTCGTGAATAGTTAATTGATGCTTTTTAGGGGGTGCAACTCTCATAACCGCTCGCCTTCCATTATCAGAGATGCCGGGTTTCCCAACCACATTACGAACTTTGTCCTCAGGCTTAGCTACTCTACACGTGCAAGTTGATGATTATAGAATAGTATCCGATAACGATCAGGCAAACATTGTTAGCAGGCTAAAAGGAACTAAATAGGATCACTTTGGTACTGGCCACTTCTATGTACATGATTGTTTGTAGCATTGTTTTTTTCGTCATTTGAATGGTTTATTTCTTAGGAACATCGATCTGTTGATTATTTGTTGTTAACCGATTCTTTTCAGTTTACTTGTGTATCACATAAATTTTTTGATCACAGTATTCAGATAAAAATATGAGATTCTTTTTGAAACTTAGCAAACATGAGGTGATACCAAGAGCTTTCTTTGAAAATAATCAAGCCAATATCTTGAGTGACTTCGCATTTCGCAGTTATGCTCGATGAGCTAGCCTTTCTGGTAAATGGATATGATGGAATCGCAAATCGCCGCAGCAAGTTCAAATGGTTATGTCGTATGTTTGAGGTTTGTAGGGAGCGCCCTGTTCGACTTGATGGACAAAAAGTATGTTTCTAGCGTCTTTAAATTCTCCTCTACCTGGAAATTTACACTGCTCTCAAATCAGTTTCTGGGGAGCCGTTGAAATTGATTGATTTTGTTATAAATGACTACGTAGATCGAAAAGGTTGTATATGAAATGCGCGGTAACACTTTACACAAAATTTGAACTTCTGGGTGCAAAGCCAGCGAAAAATTTTGTATAGTGACAAAGACAAGTGGATAATGATAATTTATCGCACATATAGTTTGTGTCAACCGTGTGCTCCCTTTTCCACTCGCCAAATCGCAACCACAGAGCCTCGCGCGCGTTTGCGCGCGTATAAGCTGCGCATTTGAAACTCGCCTTTTGATCGGGGTCGCCGCGCTAGGCCCTTGCGCTGCGGACACGAAGCTGCTACGGAAAAGGGAGCACTTGATTGACATCCATCGTATCTCAGTGATTAACACAACCCTCGTGCCAAACTTTCTCTTGGTAAATGATAACCAAAAGCACTCGACGTTCTATGCTATACTTGAAAATAAAAATCATGGGAAAAATATGCGCTTTGCGACCACTTTGCGCGCGCAAACTTCCGGCAGCCCAAGTGTTGCAATTTCTTCGCGCAAGGCGGCACATGTCTGACCACAGGAACACCATACTTATCGTCTGATTTACTCGTTATAGGCTACTACCGCACGAAAGAGCAAAACCTAGGGGCGCGGACGCGTTTTATTCGACGTAGAGCACTTAAAGGCAGTGTCCGGGCAAAAAGTCGATTTTGAAATTTTGTGCTTACCCGGGCCTATTCGCCATGCTGACTTCGGAAATCCACATTGGAAAGCGCGAAAACGGCGAAAAAGGGCTCTAACGCAGGAGGGAAATCAGTTGGTGGGCGGGGTCTTCCCCACTGCGGATTCACGCTCCAAGCTTCCGGAGCGATCTTCTCGGTCCCGATTTCAAGTCATTGCATTTGCACCTGGCCTGTGAAGATCTCAGCGCGCTAACGGAATCGAGAAAACGCTTCAGAAGCTGGGACCGGGAAATTCACAGTGGGGAAGACCCCGCCCACTTCTGATTTCCCTCCTGCGGTAGAGCCCTTTTTCGCCGTTTTCGCGCTTTCCAATGTGGATTTTCGAAGTCAGCATGGCGAATAGGCCCGGAAAAGCACAAAATCTCAAAATCGACTCTTTGCCCGGACACTGCCTTTAAAGCGTAGGGTTTCAACGGTGAGAAACGCGCGTCGCATTCGCGCGCTCGCTTAACTGGTGCTTTGGCGCGTTTGTCCATCTTAGATTTATCTGTTCTATGGGTGTTATAATCGCAAATCTTTTTTTAGAGTTCAACCTGTAGCACATTTGCAAGAAATTTCTAGCTAGTACTCTTGAGTGCAAAATTGCTCGATATTTTGTGAATTTTTTCAGGCAAGTGCGGAGCTACTGCACACACACTTGTTGATTCGATTATGCAATCTGCGCTTGGAATGCTTCAAAGAAGAAGTCAATGAAGTATTAGGTGAGCCTCTGATTCAACTTTTGGAATGGAGCTTATAACCTGGTCTAAGTGGCGGTTACGTAGGCATCGCGCTCCCAGTCCGTTCAGAGAGCAGGGGCGGCAATGAATTTTCGGGTAAATGTGCCTGGGATTTTCCACGCACTCCGAAGACTTTCTTGGGATGCAGTCAGATTTTTTGCGGTCCGATAACGAAATTTCAAGGAATTACATAGTACGCCCCTTGCAATTTCAATTTTTTAAGCCAATTTGAATTTGGTTTCAAAAAATTAATTTATATGAGTAAGAACAAGTTATTGCACAATTTACAGTGCATGTAAGAAACCTTCAAAAATTTTGCGACCCATTCTCGGAACGCTTCCTCCCTCCTCCCCGGTCCGCCACCGGTAGGCGTCTGTAGGGGGAGGAAGAGTGAGGATAACGCGATAGTATCCTTTTCCGATGCGATGTGGAGACGTTTTGATTCTCCACCCCGCCCAGTCGTATAAATTTCTTGGCACAGTGCCGGCACAAGACGATGTGAAAATTTCTGTCGTTTCGCGGCATCATTGCGCCTGCACACTCGAAAACTCTAGCATTGCTATGAATCATTTGGTTCTAACTTACAAGGGAAGGATACTTGGTCGAAGTGGCTTTTTTATATGAAATGTACACTGTCTTGTATAGTAGCATGAAATTCTGATTCCGAATCTGCTTTCGGTATCTGGAAAGCGGTTCTGGGAGTGGAGTTATGGGGATTTTTTGATGCAAAAATTTGTGAGCGCCGCTACAATTAAATCATTCAGAACTTTAGGTCGTTAGCTCAGATGGGGCATGGTTACTATCAGGACGTTTCATGCAGTAAATACTTTCAATCTAACAAACGCATGCAAGTCATCACTTCTTTTAAGCGCCGAAAAGACCTCAATAGCTGTCTTTACCCAAGCCAAATCATTAAAATTTTTCCTCAGAAAATCTCCATAACTTCCCTCGCTGAAGCGCTTTGCAAATACGGATAGCTTTTGGAATTAGCGTTCCGCGCTTCACAAGATAGTATACATTTCGTATGGAAACGTCACTTCGACCAAGTATCCTTCCCTTGTTAGAGTAATTGTACACAATTCATCAAGCTAATATTTTGTACATCGCTTCTCGCGCATAACCATAATAATAAAATCACTTTATCTCTTCAAAAGTTACTACAACCCTTTCTTTGCTACACGACCCCAAAATTTCCTACCCGTTCTTGGGAGAGGGGAAGGGAAGAGCGAGGCTCCTCCAGAATGGGTCGAAATTCTTGATGGTCATGAGTTAATAAACAATCTGATGCAAATTCGTAATTCTTCAAAAGTTCAAATTCTGTAGAAAAGTGTCTGCCGGGTTATGAGCCCACGAAATATTTGAAAGCATCTCAAGAATCGCAAAGGATATTACGCCAATCCTCTTCATACAGAAATTTTATATTTCCCTATACCCCCCCCCCCTCCCGCCTTCTCCCGAAAGTTTTTTTCGGAACAGACCTGGTAATGGCCACATCCACTGTGAAACTGCAGTGGGTAGTATTATATACGGATTTCAATGTTGCTAAGAGCTAAATCTTAATAGGAAATATTTTTCTAAGAAACTGAAAACTTTGTCGCCAATCGCAGCTTTGATTTCGGTCATAATATTTGCCGTAATCGTTCGAACTCGGTAGGTGGCCAGTGAAAACCAGTAAGCCTCTAGAGTTTGCTTCTATCATTCAAATAGTTCTAGATCTGTGCAGCATTCGCTGCTGGAATCAGATTTGAAACCTTTACTAGGCAAGTTTGATTCGGAATTACGGGATGCGCCAAAAACACTGGCGGCAACTCTGCAGCAGTGTCACGGTAAAGCTACAAGCTATTGGAGCTCTGATTGCGTTTTATAAAAAAACACTTCCCAGAATCTGAAGAATCTTTATGAATTTGAGGATTATAAGAATTATACTAATGCTTTTAGAAAGAGGAAAAATGCAGTTCCTCTGCATTCGTTTTACTTTGCACTGATTTTTAGGATTATTATTGAATCTTTTTTCGCTGGCTGTGTAGAGTGCACTTACTTAGAGCGATAGTAGCATCTGTTAGAGGTTGTCTTTCTGTAATGATTTGCTTTCGAACAATATCCGCATTTTAGCAGCAAGATCAAGGATGCAAAATCCTTAGCCAAAAATGTCCTCTTGATCAAAAGTTGAATCCGAAGGGGTTCTAGAGCAGCTTTGGCAAACATTCTGTAATGATTGTTCGATAGCTCTTACACTGGCAGTGGTGTGAATGACTGGAATAAATGCTTTGAGTTACAATACACACTTCCACTCATTGCTGCCCATTTATGCTAGAAAAATTTTGACGACAAACTACGAAACGAAGTTTGTGCAAGTCCCACCATTTACGAATCCTGCCTAGAATTAGAGAGATCGCTACTAGCAACTGATGGACCTTAAACGGTCATTATTTTCGTATTGGATGCCCGTCTTATGTCCCAACACTTTGAAACAAATTATAGAAATGATAACTCGGTAATAATCGTTACTGAAAATTGTGCGAGGGCGTCTGCAGTTTGGAGTGATTGAGAGAATTCGTAATCAAAGCTTGAGAATCGAACTTGTAGTTGATCTACTCTCTGAGACTACAGATTTAGAATGCGATTTGATTGGGGACTATGTGCACATTATCGAAAATTAGATATGCCAATTTTCGAGCATAGGCTATCATATCTATGAGATAAAATGAAGTGAAATAAAACTGAACGTGAATGCATGGCATCGGAGCAAAGTGCAGGAGACACCTCGTCTAAGAAAATTATCCCGATTCAACCCGCACTGTCTAGTAGTATACACCTATACACATTTATTTGAGAAGTATCTTTTTCACAGGTGCGCTTCGTGACTACGATGAAGAGCTGTACTACTTTGTTGTTGTGGCCACGTATCGGCTGTCGGATGAGGACCTGCGCAGCAGTCTGGAAAAATTTTCTGAGAAAAAGTGGCAGGTGAATTTTCAAAGGTAAATAAATAGATCTTCAAGAAGGATCAGTAGTGATTCCAGTATATTCATGACTTACCGAGCTCCACAACATCAGGAATTTTCCCCGTTCCTCAGTTACCTTGGGACATTTCTCCTGCACTTAGTGCTGATTTAGCCGTACCGGATGTGACTAGAGAAGGTTATAGTGCTTGCTAGTGGTTATAGTGCTTATCTTCAAGTCAGTGAATTAGTTTTCAGACCCTATTGAACCTCATGACATTAGGCCCATTGATGCTAGAGGTATGCTGACAGAGCAGTACTCGGCTCTTCTGAGCAGTGATGTTTTACGGATAGCTGAGGAAAGACCAGGTAGTACATCATCTGTAGCCATAGCACGATTCAATGCATTTAGGGCCGTCTTGTGAATGTCTTTGTTTTGACGAGGAAGCTGGTATGACTGCTCTTATCGAGATGTTTGATGGCGTCAGTTCAGATCTTTTCCAGGAGAACGTCAGTTCACTAATATTAGGCCGTTCCGAAAGTTCTTTCCGTTTTTTCAACCTACCATAAAAACACGCGGAATGAAAGTAGGGAAACGCTTTGGGACAATCCGACGCAGCTTTTCTTCCTCTTTCTAGCAGTCATACTCGCATGTCACTTACTCTTGTGATCACTAGATAATGGCAGAAATTTCGAACCCATGGTTTTTACCATGTCCAAATTTGGCAATTTTTGGCCCATCCTTACTCTTACAGAAATGAGCAAAGCTTAGGCGATTGCCCCCTTCACAGGAAATTTATGGGGCCCAGAATGATCAAAATAACTGTTCATGTTGAGGCGTCGAAATCTCAGTCTAGGTAACTTCAAAATGTGCATAATGTAGGCAATTTCTATCAAATACAGTTGCTAAAGTTTCAAAAGTTTGCCTTTATTTGGGCTTGATTTCTGGCCAGAAAAGTAAATGCAATTAAATTCTGGTTTCGAGTGCGGTTGTGTGAAGCTCTATTATTTTTTAACTAATGAAGCTAGAAGCCCATTTCAACAACCATTGGATAGAGGATGAAAGAACCTTTTTGGGAATGTGCTAAGTTTTTCCCAAAGAAGAAAGTTTGATGGAGAAAAGTTGTCCTAAAACAAGGGCTAGAAAAACGCGCATTACTTTTGCACCAACCTAATAAAAACCATGGGCTAGAAATTTCGGCCATTATCTCACTGCCCACAAGAACAAGCGGCACAGGAATATGACAGTTGAAAAGAGGAAGAAAAGCTGCGTCGGATAATGTTTGAAGCGTTTCCCTACCTTCATTTCTCGTGTTTTTATGATATGTTGAAAAAAAAGGAAAGAACTTTCGGAACGACCTAATATATAGACTCAAAAGCCTCGGTACTCACATCAGCCTATATTCTTCCTATCTCTTCTCAGTGACTGCCTTCTATGCATTGTGAGGCAGCGTTCAGAGTTGAGCGCTGCTACCGGCGTTACAGTGCCGTGCCAATGCCGTGTCATGGACGCGCAATGTAATCGATGACGTACCGACACGGCGCTAGCACGGCAAGTCTGGACTTGGCCTGAGACACAATCAGCAATGAGTCATGCTTGAAAATTACCTCATCTATATCTCTTTTCACTGATTGTGCGCGATGAAATATTAATTCTGTAACCAGAGAGGTAGTTCTTTCAGCTTCAAGGATGAACTACGTTATATACGACCTCATTAGTATGTGTAATCATATTATATACCGTATGCACTAAAAAATTTGTTTTTATTTATATCCCTTTTCAAGATTTCAGAAGAAAAAAGAATATTCGGGGCCTAGTACATTATCGTTTCTTTACTACTTTGAAGGCATCGTCTACCCAGATTCTCGACTTCCATGTTTTGATCGTTCCGGGGCCTCATATCTCTGCTTTCGAATAAGTCGAGAATCCGCAAAGGCCCCGATGATCCCCGTTCCGGAGAACCCGCAGGTCGGCTTTCCGGAACGGTGATGTGGATGGGGAGAGCGGTGCCGTCTGGGGGTCCTCGTGCATCTTCGTTATTCCGGAACGATTTTCTCGCTTCCAAAGCAACATTTTGCGCCGGAACTTGGACATTGGCCTAATAGGGGACCCTACTATCATAAGCTGCCAAAAGCTCAAGACTTTCATAGGGTGGATGGTGCCTCTGACAATCAGATTTCATTCCCTATCTGGAAAGCTTTCTAAGAGCCTTTCACTTTAGAATGGCGAGTTTACAGCAGCAGAAAATTTGAAACTCGATGGCTGGAGTGTTGCTCGTACTCAAGCAGTAATGAATACAGAAGTAGAGGCTGCAAACAGGTATCAAGGTTTTTGCACTTGGTTCATCCAAACACTTATCTGCTCAGAATCCACCATCATTACCGATCCATCAATGATCTATGTGCCAACCACGTATCCAAGAACTTTTCAGAACTGATTTCAGCTGCTTTAGAAAATATGAAGACTTTGTTCAGGTGAGTTTATATTGCAAAACCAGTACTGAGAATTTAAAAATTGTACTCTCTTATTCACTTGTATAATTTAGGAAACGTCTTCTAAAGTGCAGCGTCCGTGAGGATCCGATGTGTGTACGCATAGAGAAATTACATAATATTGTAGAAGATCAAATTGAAGTGCTCACTGTCTGTAATGAGACATTGAGTTCCGCGAAAGTTCAGGTATTTTACTTGATCCTATAATTAGCGAAACGTTGTGCAGAAAATCTGTCTGCCACTCTGATATTGTTGTGTCAAAAATGCTGCTCATTTACTAAGCAGTTTCGATTCATCGTTATTCTTCTCAATTTTTGTGAACGCGAACAGAGTGTGCCACAATTAGCAAATTTCTAGCATATGCGTCTTGAAAATTTTTCTACCAACAAAACAGTTTGAAGATCCAACATTTTTTCTTAGAACCTCTACTGTGTGGAATAGTTCAATCCGTAATGTAATAGTACCCCAAATTCCGCTTAGGTTATAAGTAGTTGCGTTTCAGGAAGCGCCAAAATAGCCACAATATTGTATACTTGGGAGTGGCATAAAATATTAGGTTGTTCCGAAAGTTTTGTCGGTTTTTCCAGACCGCTATAAATTTACGCACAATAAAGACCTGAAAGAGTTTCAACATGCATTCGATGCAGCTTTTCCTTCTCTTTCTTAAGGTTACATTTCCAAGCCACAATCCTGTATGCTTTTTTTGATAATTGTTACAATTCTTCACCCGTCATTTCTATCTGCTCAAAGTTAGGCTAATTTTCAAAAATTTCATTCCAAAGTTCCGGAGGTGGTTAAGTATGGCTCAAATAGGACAATTCTCGGACTACAAGGCGACATTTTTAGATTCTCCTAACCTGCTGTTTTTAGCTTCAAAAAATTGTTTCTTCGGAGGTCTCGATTTTTGGCAAAGTCATGAAACACGCAATTGTAGCAAAAACAAGAAAGCTTTGAAATTTCTGCGAATCGAAACTTGATCGCTGATAAACAATAATTATGCAGCATAACGAAGTTTCATTTGCTTTGAAAAATCAGCTTTTTGGAATTTTCGGTAACTTTACGTGGTAGACGTGATCAAAAAGCCGCGGTTTTCTTGAATAATTGATTTTAACGGACTTGATAAACGTGGCCCATGTGATCTAAAATAAGCACAGTGTAGCCAAAGATTTGCTCTACATAACGGTTACTACCGCTTTTTGAAAACATCAGGATAAAAATTTTTTAAATTCAGAAAGGATTTGCCGTTACTGCTGAACTGACCATAAAGCCATGGCGGTAACATTGCTGTAAGAAAGAGTGTTAAAATCTGAATCATATGATACCTAGATCGTCCATGGATTGATGTTTTGTGGGTTTTAGTGAGCGATGAAAGAAACCGACAAAACTTTCGGGACAACCTAATATAATACATTTCTTGGACTCTACGATTTTTTCGCCGCTGATAATGAGAAAGTTATCTCGTCTTTCTAAAATCATATGCTCTAGGCCAAATCTCGCTTTATAGAGCGATAGGCATATCGCATTGTTCACAATCCTTAACGCCACTTACAGTGCTGGTTATAATTATAAAGACACTCTTGGTGCAAAAGTTTTGTCAGTTTTTTTTCAGTCCATTGGCAAACACGCTAGAATGAAGATGAACAAACACTTCAAAAGTATCCGATGCAGAATTTCTTCCACTTTCCAGCTGCTAAACTCCCGTTGTCGTTGAGAGAATGACGAGATATTTACCGGAAATTACAACCACTCGTTTTTACCATGTCCAACTTTCGCTAATTTTCAAAATTTTTGTATGAGACTTTCGGAGGAACCCTAATAACCAGCACATAGGGCAGACTTTTTGCCAACAGAAGCAATTTTTTTGTAGCCCTATATTTGTCAATCATCTTTACGTATACATTCAGTGGATTAAGTATGGTGACGGCAACGTTCAGGTAACTTCGTTGGTCTTCACTCTACGGTGCTTGAGAAATTCCACTTCTGCCTATCACGAACATCTTCGTGAATGCTACGAAATTCTTCTGAAGAAACTTATAAATTTCGCGACAGTGTAAGTACATTTATTTTGCGAAGCGTATCTCAGTTATTGTGAAGATTGCCAATCTTTAGGAGCATAAGCTCATTTGTGAATACTGGACGTTGCGACTTCTCGGATAATGTGTTTGTGGAATGCGTCGCAGCGAAACTATCACCAGATCGGACAGTTTACGGTAGTGTTCTCTGCATTTTGGGCTTATAATTTTATGTAAACGTAGATCTTCAGAACATGCGCGGAAAAATTATCTTTTTCCAGGGGAGATGTGGGAATCAAATTTTGGCATCGATTTGCCATCTTCTCCTGATCTTAATCCACGCCTATGTCGGATGGTAGTCAAACAGGGCGTTTTGGTCCGTTTACTCAACATCGACATAGCTACTGCTCATGGCTCTACAGATCTCTGCACTTTGTACAACGTAACCAGCACAGATGTAAGTAGTTGCCAAAAGTAATTCCGTTCTCCACATATCACTTCTCAGGACGAAGATTGCGTGAACATGGAGATGGTGAGAATTCTAGATGAAATTGAGCAGAGATTTTTGGGCGAAATACTGCCAACAACCTTGGAAGACATCGTGGAATGGGTAGTGAGGTATAACTACGCTCGTTTGCAGCTTTTTCACTGTTGCGATCTCTCAAGTTGATGAAAAAGGCCAACAGATATTTGAACTGCAGGGTTCTCGTTACAGTAATTCTCCCATGTACAAACGATGCTGTCTCGTTGCTTCGGCAATCCTTTGCGATGTCCGTAGCATGTGTGATGTCATTCGATATCTGGTACTCAGTGCAGGTGCAGCCAATCTGGAAACTGAGTGAGTTAGACTTTCGGTTACAACACTTCTGATACCTCGCGCTACGCTCGCGGGCGTTCAACATACCGAGCATAATTCCAGGCATTCGAAGAGTCTACACATGCAAAGGTTGCGAGCTGAATTGGAGGCTCGGCATTTCGATCGTCGTCATATCTCAGCTATAGATATTGTTACTGGTAAATTGAGTTGTAGTTGCTGACTGGCCGAGGTCGAATACCGGTGGTTATTTGAAAAAAAGACGTACAGTCGCCCGATTCACTGACATCAATGTGGCGTGGCCATATCTCGCTGCAGAGTGGACGAATTAATCCAAGGGCATCATTCAACTCAGTCTGCGCGGCGCATCTTCTGAGTGCCCACCTGGACACAGTAGAGGCCAGATCCACGTATTGCTTGGGATTTCTGCTTACAGTAGGTTGCCCAGTGAGTGCAATGTATACACATTGAGTAATATACACAGAAATTATCCGCCAACCTATTAGGTTGGCGGATAATTTCTGTTACAATTTTTTTGTAAAATTTTGAAAATTTCCGGAAGCTTTCTAGAATATTCAAATTTGCTCCTCATGTAGGGCATGGCAGATCGTAACATCGTAACATAATTGATGCCGCAAATGCGCAATTAGCTAGCAAGCTTACGACAACTTTGTAATCGCACTCAAAATTAACGTTTTTTCTTTGGTTCTTTTCTCTGCGTCTAATTGTGCTTTTCCTCTCCCATAATTTTTTGAAACATATTTTCGCACTGTCTCTTTTATGGCAGCACTTTGGTGCCGCGCATATCAAAAACCATGGGTGAAAAATGGTCCGAAAAAATGTCGCGCATATCAAAAACCATGGGTGAAAAATGGTCCTTACCCTCCTGAAAAAATGGTGCACCATGTAGCTCATTGAAATTGAAATTTGGGTTTTGTGTGTGCATTGTGTACGATTTGATATGGAGGGGTTGGAAATACTTTTTGTAAATTTTTCAAAAATCATTTTTCCTATTGAAATGCGAATGTGCGCTGACATGGTGCACCATGTAGCTCATGTGCGAACGTGTGCGGACATGATTGTGCCGTTCCCCTATATTTGGTGGAAACTACGGTCCTTACCCTCCTGATTACCACATCGCCCGGTATGCACCTGATCACCTGGAAGAATGCTAGCCCATTGACAAAAACGTCCATAAAACGTACTCCCACCAAGATAGTGGGCGTTTTGCGCAGTGAACACGGATCTAACAGTACTGATGGATAAACCTTTGCACCCTGTCTGCGCTTGTTGAACATAAGAATATTTGGAACTTTCCTTGAATTTTAAGAAATAAAAATAAAAGTGTAACAGAAATTATCCGCCAACCTACCCTGAGCAAAAATCTGAAACGATTTGTGAAATCTGACCTTCTAGCGTAAGCGGGCACTTCTACATTGCAAAAGATGCGCCGTGTCGAGCTGATTGCATGATACCCTTGGATTGAAATTTCGTCCACTCTGAAGCGAGATATGGCCATGCTACTGTAATGTCACATAAATCGGGCGATTGTGCGTCTTTTTTTTCAAAAACTACGAGCGGTTTTGTACCTGCTGCGAATTGCACAATATTGATGGCGGCTACGCTTCAGAATCTGGAACTAAGCTGATACTTATTACTCCACCTGAACCGCTGTCAATAATCATCACAGCTGGACATGGAAGACGTTATGTCAGGATATATACATTTTTGACAGATCTCACGAGAGCAGCATTTGCTCTAAATGATGTGGGTTATTATTTCTCACAATTGGCTTTCATCTAGACAAAAGGTATTTGAGGTAGAACTCAGAGAACCCAGTATCAGTCCCGAAAGTAGTCGTCAATTATTTTACTGTTGTTCGGCGATGCTACGGGTGATCACTGGCGCTCGCGATCATGTTATTGCAGAGCTGGATTCCGTTTGGCGACATTTCTTGGTGAGTCATTATTCAAGAATATTCGAGGATGCAGAAAAGCAGTAATCAAATACGGCGCATTCCAGTATCGGGCCGCAAAATTTCGAAAGTTTCGAAGTCAACTCGGTCTATGGGGGTTATTCGGCATGCTGGTCACGGTATCACACTCTTTTTGCAGAAAATATTCGGTGGATACATGATAAGGGGGAATCACGGATTTGGCTAAAGTTAGGTCTAGGGGGGGGGGGGTTGGCGTGCTGGTTACGAATACCAGACCCTTCTGCATTCTGCGGCCTTTTAACGGAATTACGGTAGGTATACGGTATGAGGTACTTGGCCGCTGAACATGAATATCATGCTGATTTCTCAGAAAAACGCCATTTCCTTGGCGACATTCACGACTTCGTAATTTTGGGGTCCGGATACTGGAATAGCGCCCAAAATACTAGTGGCTTATATTGGCGATTGATTTGTGAAAAAATGAAAGCAAGCTCTGTTATTTTTCGTCTATACATTGCGAAGAAAGAAGTAGGATTTACAAATACTTTTGAAGATGACTCTGGTTGTGGTGGCCCGTTTCGCTCTGTTGACTACGAATATCCAACTGAGCATATCGGGGATTATGAAATGCCACTTTCTATCCAAGTTGAGCACAAAAAGTGCGCAGAAAGGTGACTTACTTACTATCCTCTGCCTTCGTCGTACAGAAATAGAAGACTTGAAGTAATCCGCAGTGATGTTTTGGGATTGCTATTTTCAATGACTGTTAATACTGTTGTTCGAAAGCACGACTGGTGGACTATATTCAGACAAATGACCGTTTGGAAAAGTTCCGCCGGGTCACCTGCGGACGTTTCGTAAACGTGCTGCGGAAGTTCCAAGAATGCGAAGTACAACAGCAAAAGAGAACACCTAAGCGAGATTTGAACCTTGCTGTATTGACTGCGAGACTTACTTACTATCCTCTGCCCTGCGGATGACGTGTTCGACAATACACTCTCTTTAGGGATTGGCGAGGCAATATCGTACGAGATAACAATTCAAAAACTGCGGAAGTACTGGCAACTCAAAGTGCTGCAGAAGCGCTGGCATTTTTCGGAATTTTTGCGGCGTTTTATGACAAGTCCTACGGAAGTTTGCGTTTTCAACTAATCTGACATGAAGATCCTGCGGAAGTATCCATTTTCAACGTTTCAATTTTTGTAATAGTGAGCAAAATCCTGCAAAATCGCTGCACTTGCTTGTCCTGCGAAATCTCCTTTGAATTATCTGAGAGCTATGAAGCTTTCTTTACCGCAAGCAGAAAATTGTATTAATTCTACTACGCATTTTTTGATAACTGTTTATTTAGAATGAGTTGGACAGTGTTACCACTATCGATCAAGCCATCAACTCGCACAGGTATGCTTTTAAATCATCGATTGTAGCCAGCCCAAGTAAATTTTTTAGACGGGCCATGAAGAGTATGATGCAACGAACACTACTAGATGTGAGCAATCTCACTACTGGTCGAACTGTGGAAGTGGTAAGTTGAAAATTGTCTAGGAATTTCTTGTAGTTAATATAAATGATTTTAGATGTGCGAGAGTTGCGTGCGATTTGCACAGGCCATGAATTCCGGTGACGAAGCGAGTGCTTTCATCCACTACCGGCTTTTCGATGAACATGCTCAACTATTGCGAGAAAGTATGTGCCTGAAATGAGAGGTGCTATGAATTTTTTCACTGAATCTTTCCAGAGTTGAATGTCGAAAGGACAAATATCTACGCTCGTACTCTATTATGGCGAATTGGCAATGATGGGGAATTTTTCGAAACGGAGGAAGAGAATACGCTTTTCGACTATAGTAGCCAGATTCTTTCAAAGGCATCCACTTTTCGATCACTTCGTGAACTATCACAGAGTGCTTCCCAACTCATATTCTGAATGTGGTCTCAAAGAGTTGTATGTAATTTTATTATCGACTGCATTTAAAACAAAATTTCTCAAAAGACATAGCACGATCAAGTTTGCTCACTTATGAGTGTTTATAGTAAATATTGATTTTTTTGTGCTAGGAATACGCATGATTATACTATCACTTCTGCTATTACAGATGAAAGATTTCAATGTATTTCTTCTCTGGTCTAAATAATATGAACGTTTTGAGTTGGAGCACTTCAAAACAGCACAGTCGAAGCTTTAAATTCAGTGATTTATAGTTCATTCTATAGCAGATGATTACCAGCTTTTTCATTAACCTAATCTCCGGCGATTTCTGATGTCATCGTTCGACGTTATCGCAATATTGTTTATGCGCAAATGTGGCGACTTGTTTTAGGCGGTGGCGCCTTTAAGAATTGAGCGAAAGAGTGGCGCTCTTTACTTCTGTCAATTAACAGGTGGTTCAGTGGTTTTTTATTACCGTTCGCTAGGAACATCGTAACAAGTAATGAGGAGGCGGCCACGCCCAGAAGGCGTGACCGAAGAAAGAGAGGGGGCGGAGGTGAGAAGTTCTGGCATGTGCCAGAACAATAAGACCGTGATAACGAAAACATCACCGGTGAGAAAACCCTACGATTCAAGGATCTTTTTTAACAATTATCCCTTTGTGTGAAGTTTTAGGCCCCGGACAGACTTCACGCGATTTGATCGTCGCCATTTCCATTCATTTTCATTTTATATTAAAAAATTTCGGGCTGGAAAAGTATCACAACCGCATGCAAGTTGATCGGCATGGAATGATGTTGTAACAGTTGTCTTGTCGCGATTCAATCGCGAGATCAAATCGCGTGAAGTCTGTCCGGGGCCTTAGACGATTATAAGACAATTTAACTCTAGTTCATAAGAAACATAGTAAAGCTTGATACCCTCGATCTTTTTGTAGAATAAATCTGTAAATGTTGAACTTTTCTGTTCTTTTTTTTGGTACACCTTTGTGTGGAAACTAAATAAATGAAGAAGTCTGCTCTCATGATTTGCAAGCATCTGTCAAGCTCTCAAATCTTCTCATAGGAGGCAGCAGCTGAAATAAGTTTTTGACATTTGTAACAAAACTTGCAAAAAGATATGCAGAGTATATGATATACTCTTGATCAAATATCAGGTTGTTTCATAGTTCCCTTCCGCTTTGAGTGCGCCGCAATAACTCACACACTTCTCAATCCTAAATAGGCTTCCAGATTCCATTCGATAGAGCAAATCAAGCTCTCCTAGGTGGGGTTCTTGATTTTGCATCAGCTTCAGTCCACCGCGAGGAAGCCAGAATCCAAAAAGATTGAAATGCCCGAAAGAATCGAGAAAAATTCGTTACTTCGTCCAAAAAATTCCTACAATCCTGATTTGCTCCGGCATGCACCTTCCGCATAAGAAGTTCATATATACAGTTATGACAGTAGAATGTGAAAAATCTCGGCAAATTCGGTGATGTCAGCGACTTCGCCGAGAATTTTCACATTCTTAAGTCATAACTGTAGAGCTCGCTTCGTTTTTGAATGTTTCTCACTATTTTCACCTATCCGGCGGACTAAGCGCAAAGAACATGCATTTGTAGAGCAAGCCAATATTAACGAACAGGAAACTAAACTAAACTATAAACTCATCGATGTTCAGTAACTATTCGTAAATACCATGAATTTTGAAAGTCTTCAACTTTTGAGATAGATAGCATCAGCAGACATCGAAAAGTGCTTAGCTCTTTTACGATTTGACAGTGTTGCGGCTCGGTGGGCTCAGCACCATCCTGCCTATCTCGACTGCCTGCACATCCCCTACTGCCTACAAATCCTAGCGCTGGTTGGCCATTTCAGCGCGACCAACACAACGATCCCGCTATGTGGCAGTAAACCATAACAACGAACGCGCGGCTAGATTACTAACATGTATTCCCATAAAAGAAGACTACATTAACAAGGAACTATACTACGAAAGCACCTAACTAAAGAGAAAACAATATACGGGACGAGTCTCCCTCGTCTCAAGCCGATGATCACCAAACTAATTCTAGTACATGATGTCAGGAAGTCCACCAGGGTGGACCGCCTACTCTCGCTTCCGCATAGGAAAGGTACGATCTCTTCACTCCCGGTATCAACCTTTCCATAAAAGCTCTAAAATTTCCTCGCACGTCAGTGCGGCACAATCCAAAAGTCGTAACAATCACTTGCTCGACCGTCAAAACAGAACTTCATCCACGGGAGCTTGCCGGGGGAGCTGCCAAGCACAACAAGGAGAACGTGAGAAATCAGAAAATTATTTGAAAACGAGGTCAGAAATCAGAGAGGCATATGCCGCCAGTTGCGCGTCCTTATATACCCCTCGACTTGGCAACCATCCGAGCGAGGAGGGGTCCGGGCGCGAATGTAATAGCGCGCCCGATTCGGCGGCATGCAGTGCTCCCTGCACCTGAATCGAGGAGAGGCTTGCATCGCTCGAGCCGCGACAAAGCAGTATAAAATTTCTGAAAAATTTGTTTGCAGCTTTGCCCGAGACTTTCAAGTTTTGGTTGGGACCACGATTGGCGTTATGGCTTTTTCCCGAGATTTTCAAGTATAAATTGGCACAGGATTGGCAAGCCCTCACAAAAGTTTGAAAGTTTCCATAAGTAGAAATTGTTTCTCGTACATAGCATTGCTAGTAGTAATTATCGCTGGTTATGAAAGTTCTTTGGTAACGCGATGCGTTTAACAGTATTGCCATTATTGTGGACTCGTCTACTGCCGTGTCGAACTCCTGAGTTCTTGAATGATCGCAATCATGACAGATCTCATCAAACGACACCTTACTACAAATACTTTTATAATAGATCAAAAGGTTTTGGCATGAAGCTGAGTATAAATCTTGTAAGGACCTCTAATTCGAAATAAGGGTGTCCCAAAAACCTTTGTGTTTAACTTTGCAGCAAATCATTTTCTTGGTATCTTTGCTTTTGAATCAAAAATCTGCATATAACTCAGCAGAAGTTGTCAACACTTTTCCAAAAAATCATGCTATTTGCATCGTGCATTCACAGGAAGTGTTTCTCAAAGTAAACAGTACTACAGTTTTGAAATTAAGCCGATTGGAGTGTACCCATTTGAACCCCTAAATCTCTTTATCACAATAGCTTTCGCGATGATCGAGTATTATATTAAAAAGCTAGCTTCATGCTAAATTTACTTCGCGTAACAAATTCTTGTTCTCTTTTCTCACTGTAGTATTGAGGTACAAATTTTCAATTACAAAAATGGATACTCGAAAAAGCTGAAAACTCTCATCACAAATCAATCTAAGCTGCTGATTACTAGCTGTATAGCTTGCATTTTTTGCGGAAGTATGGTCGAAAGGTTTGTGCTGGTTACACCATAATTGTTGTTTTTCATGCTTTGGGAAATTCGAATGGAACAATGCGGACCATTTTGCAAAACCTGAGAATTCTAATTCCTAAACGGCGTGTTTTCAGTCCTTCTGAAGTCCTTGACTTTTTTGTGACCAATCGTGTAGAGCAAGACCTGCGCTATCCTCCACTATCCTCCACCGAGATTCGGATGTTGTGAACTACCTGCTTTAGAAAGCGTGGGATAATTAATTTATACATTAATGATCCTTTTCGCCTCTACCCCTAGACAGAATCTTTAGGTACTACCAGTCTGTCACATCGGGTGGGACTTCTGAATACCCGTGAGGGGTAGTTCACCTTGAGTTTGGCTCGTTGTTTTTTCTGTATCAGTAAAGTTTTCATAATATCCTCTACGTTGCTTTGCTCATCTCTTAGCTAAGAAAGGTAGGCAAAGAATTTTGTAAAACCTAAGGACCGCCAAAAACGGGATTTTTATGCTTTTATAGCCCCTTTCAGAAGAGCGTTTCGCAGAAAAGGAATGCAGATTTGAAATTAGCGTTTGAAAATGCTTTAGCCGATATGCATCTCATATTCAACGGTCACGAGCATCAAGAGTGTTTCCCGTGTCAGGTGACCCTAACATTGTACCTCTGAATCCGTTAAAACTAGGTCCACAGCAGTTATTTGACGTGCCAATTACAAAATGATACTCGTTGCTTGGTAAGCTTCTTTACGCTTACTGTTCGTATGCTACTTTAGATCAAATATTTAGTGTGCTTCTATTTCGCATAATGGGCTTACCTGACATATATGCTCAACAATTATCATAAACTGCTAACATCACTATCACTGACGACCTCTTCCCTTTCTGACTCCTCAGTACGACCCCCAAATTATTTTTTTAAACCTCATGCTTGACCGCCGTGCTATTCACCGTTGCAAACCTCGCTCTGTGTTCCGCAGCTAAAAAAATTGCGTGGGACACTAAGTCCTACGCTATCGCCCGGCCGTAGCTTATAGCTATCAAAGTTTTACCACACAAATTCCTTAACGCACCAATGCGAGGAAATTGGTAGTTGCAGTATTATAGCTTGTTTTCAGTACAAGTTAACACTTCTTTCTTCTATGATTTGTAAGAGAAAGGCCCGTAGTAAACTACCGTCAGGGCATCTCCCCTGAGGCGGACCGGAGTTGATATCTTGGCGCCTCAGTCCAGCATCCGGCGAACTATTGATTTGGATGCAGATCGCTTCCTGGACATAGTGGATCAAGTGCGTTCTCGAAAAAACAGCTACTTGATCCGATTTGGTTAAATGGGTAATTCCATTGGAATTACAGGCGCGCGGCCGTGGTTCGACTCCGCCTAGCGACACAACTTTTGCTGCATCGCCGGGCAATCTTTGATAGCGGCCACTATCCAATCGATGATGACCGCTATCAAGGATTTCGCCTAGCAAACGCAAAGATAAAACAAAAAACATTTTGTTACGAAAATTTTGCGACAAAACGAAATAGTTGCAACGAGAATTCAATGAAATGAACAAATGAGTCCTCGTTTTGGACAGCTTCAAAAAAACCAGTAAAGTTTACAAAAAAGAGAAGAATTTGTTTTTTTCTGTCTTCCTCGCCAAAATCAGCTGTTCATCGATCCTCTCCTTTTCGGGCGGGGTTGTGCAATTTTGCGCCGATTTTGTCCGCAGTGTTAGGCAAATTGCTGTGTATCGTAAGTTACTCAGGAGCAACTTACGAAGATTTTCTCTGCGTTTCCTCTTTAGCACACTATTTCTGGACATCATCGCTCATATCATCTCCCATGACCCGGAAG